GCCTTAGCATATATTTGTATATAGTTTATTCAGCATACATTTCCTAAGCATTTTCCCGTGCTGTTTCAGCATGGAAAAAAATGGGCTGTTTCCTGACATTTGGTCATGGCTTGGGGCCACAGACAGTGCAGTGGGATGGCAGCAGTGGGAGGGAATAACACATAAAGGCATTCTGAACTTAGCCCAGAGCCTGCTTTGAAGAGATGAGATAAAGAGAGAGGTATATTGGCTATGCTGAAAAGATGAGTAGACAGAAGCAGGATTCAATCCCTGGGATGTGTCAGGTGCCTGAAGACCAGAGAGAAGGTTCTGGAATTAGGGAGGAGCCTCAGATTCTCGTTGTTGCCTTCTCAAACTTAGGTGATTTCTGGAGAAATACTACCCCTGCAACATAGACTTGCACTTTTCTTTCTGTTAGGATATTGGGGCTATGGATTGAGATGCAAGCCAGAGTCCCTTCCAAGATAATTTTGAAACAAGTTAATTTTGAGTTCTATAGGTCATGGATTTGGCCTCTTGCTTTCTTTTCCTGCTGCCACCAATGTCTTCTTAGGCTGGGTTCTTGCCTAGATACATCTAAATTGGGATGCAGTTTCCTAATGTATTCCTTACTCTTCAGAAGCTGAAAGGAGTTTATGAACAATTTTTAGATTTTTAGGGTTAGAATAGAGTTATAAAATTGAAAAAGATGTCAAAAAGATCATCTGGGAAGTTCCTCTGCATGTCGCTGGCCCTGTCTGAAAAGTTTATTAGTTTCTTTGTTCTGCTTAAAATGTTAGCTCCCTAATGGCAAAATTACATAAAATAAGAACAACAGTCACATAATTATTAGAAATCTTCATAAGTACCAGGAGTAAATGTCCCTGATCTTTATGGGAATATGTTTAGGGCTCTTCTGCTTCCTTCTAGCCACTTTCCTGAGACACTACCTTGATTCTGCTCTGGACGTGAGCACTAGCTGCAAAACTCTAAGGCTTTTTTTTTTTTTAATTTTTATTTATGTATTTAGTTCCAGTATAATTACTGTACAGTGTTATATTAATTTAAGGTGTACAGTATAGTGATTCAACAATCCTATACATTACTCAGTGCTCATCAAGATATGTGTACTCTTGGGGCACCTGGCTGGCTCAGTTAGTAGAGTATGTGACTGTTGGTCTCGGGGTTGTGAGTTTGAGCCCCATGTTGTGTTGTGTTGAGATTACATAAAAATAAAATCTAAAAAATAAAAAAGGATATGTGTATGCTTCAATCCCCTTCATCTCTTTCACCCATTCCCTAACCCATCTCCTCCCACCCCCTGTAATCACCAGCTTGTTTTGTATATTTAAGAGTCTGGTTCTTTGTCTCTTTTTTCTTTGTTTGTTTTGTTTTTTAAATTCCACATATGAGTAAAATCATACGGTATTTGTCTTTATCTGATGGACTTCTTTCGCTTAGCACTATACCTTCTAGATCGGTCCATGTTGCTGCAAATGGCAAGATTTCATTCTTTTTTATGGCCGAGTAACATTCCATTATATATATAAACCATACCTTCTTTATCCATTCATTTATTGTTGGACACTTGGGTTGCTTCCATAATTTGGCTATTGTAAATAATTCTTCAGTAAACATAAGGGTGCATATATCTTTTTGAATTAGTGTTTTTGTATTCTTTGGGTAAATACCCAATAGTGGGATTATTGAATCATATAGTGATTTTATTTTTAATTTTTGAGGAACTTCCATACTGTTTTCCATAGTGGCTGTAGCAGTTTATATTCCTACCAACAGTGCATGAGGGTTCCTTTTTCTCCACATCCTCACAAAACTTATTTCTTGGGGTGCCTGGGTGGCACAGTCAATTAAGCATCTGACTGTTGGTTTTGGCTCAGGTTGTGATCTTAGGGTCGTCAGATCAAGCCCTGAGTAGGGCTTCACACTGGGTGTGGAACCTGCTTAAGATTCTCTCTCTCTCTCCCTCTCTCGCTCGCTCGCTCCCTCTGCCCTTCCGCCCACTCCCTCCCTCTCTCTCTCAAATAAATAAATAAATCTTTAAAAAACTTGTTATTTCATGTTTTTGATTTTAGCCATTCTGACAGGTGTGAGGTGATAGCTCATTGTGGTTTTGATTTGCATTTCCCTGATGATGAGTAATGTTCAATTTTTTCATGTCCGTTGGCCATCTGTATGTCTTCTTTGGAGAAATGTCTGTTCATGTCTTCTACCCATTTTTTTAATTGGGTTATTTGTTTTTTGGGTGTTGAGCTGTAGAAGTTCTTAATATATTTTGGATACTAACTCTTTCTCAGATGTATCATTTGCAAATATTTTCTCCCATTCAATAGGTTGTCTTTTTGTTTTGTTGATTGTTTCCTTTGCTGTGCAGAAGCTTTTTACTTTGATGTAGTCCCAATAGTTTATTTTTTGCTTTTATTTCCCTTGCCTTAGGAGACATATCTAGAAAAAACCTTCCAAGATTTTTTATTCTAGACATGAGGCCCACAGGATTCCTGGTGCCTCCTTTAATGGAGAGGCATCCATGCTCTGCCCTTCTGTTGGAAAATCCTGTAAGGGTAAAGAACAAGAGAACATTTCAGGAGAATACTCCCAGATGATGTCTCTGATCTCAGGTTCTTTCAATTTTACCAAAGGAAAAGTCAACCTGGTCATCCTCTGATACAAAGAGACCCAGGTATAAGTCCACAGTAGCACTTAAGTATGCTGAGAAACCTGCACAAAACATAGGTCATCTTAGGCACTGAGAATTTAGACTTCAGGCTTGGATTAAGCCCCTAGACACATTAGGGCGACAACCAACAACTTTTCAATTTTAGATGTTAATGCTAATTTCACTTGCAAAAGAGAAGTACTAAAATAGTATTATGATTTTAACAGTAGAAATGTAGGAGTATGAAATTTGTAATGTTATAGACAAATTAAGCATGAAAGGCAAATACCACATCAGAGTGGGCTGGGTATCCAGATTTCAGCTGAAATTCTCTGAAAGGGTTACAAATGGCTAGCTAGTTCCACTGACTAAAGGGCCCTAATGTTAGGAGAAGGTGGAGGTAAAAAGAAGATATAGAGAGAAGGTGAGGCAGTTTTAATGTATGTGACATCTTCTTAGTTCTTCTCAGGAGGCTGTTCATGGATTTGAATATTTATAGTAGTGTATTCTCTCACTGGAGTATGGGTACTTGAGAGTTAATAACTGTTACTTGGGTGGATAATACAGACTGCTGCTTATGATGACTGTGATAGCTTGAAGACTATCTTAGTGTGCTTGGGCTTCTATATCAAAAAACAATAGACTGGGTGGCTTATAAACAACAGAAATTAATTCTCACAGTTCTGGGGCTGGGAAGTCCAAGATTAAGGTGCTGGTAGATTCAGTGTCTTGTGAGGGCTGCTTCCTGGCTGTCTTCTTGCTGTAACCGCAGATGGCAGAAAGCAGAGACGGACAGCAAGTCATTTCCTTAAGGGAACTAATCCCATTTGTGGGGCCTCCACACCCATGACCTTATCTAATCCTACTTACCTTCCAAAGGCCCCACTTCCTTTTTTTTTTTTTTAAATATTTTATTTATTATTTGACAGAGAGAGACATAGCGAGAGAGGGAACACAAGCAGGGGGAGTGGGAGAGGGAGAAGCAGGCTTTCCACAGAGCAGGGAGCCCAACGCGGGGCTCGATCCCAGGACCCCGAGATCATGACCTGAGCCGAAGACAGATGCTTAACAACTGAGCCACCCAGGCGCCCCAAGGCCCCACTTCCTAATACCAGCACATTGGGGTTAGGGTTTCAACATATGAATTTGGAGAGGGAACACAACTATACAGTTCATAACAAAATATTTGATAACCTGCAAATCTGACTGCTTCAATCCTCTGCTCAAAATCCTCCAGTGGATCCCAGTGCCAACAGCACAAAATCACTCATCTATTGGTTTGCTCATATTATTTCTTCATTCTTTCCACAAATATTTATTAACAGGTACTGGAGATATAGCAGTTAAGAAAACAGACAAAGGAGACCCATCCCTCTTGGAGCTTGTATCTTGTGGTTGAGACAAACAATATAATTGGAGATGATATTTTGACAATAAAGTAATGTGGCTTTTTTTCATGGGCATCCTGATCCCAATCATGTTTCCCAAATCCAGTCATATTCCCCTGCAGCCATTCCACCAATATGGTCCCTACCTAAAGAGGGGACATATTGTAAAGGGGAAATTCCCTCCAGAGAAGAAGATGAAGTAAAAGGAAGCACTTTTTTTGAGAGTAGGGATATGGAGGTGGGAAGATGCAGTAGAAATATTGACACTGGGAGAAGGATGACCTGAGATCCTTTGAGCTTGGTGGCAGGCACAAGCCTAAGAGAAGCTCTGTGTTTGACATGGAGATAGAGAGGGGAGAGTTGGCAGCCAGGGAGCATCTGTGAAGGCAAGTGTCTAGGTAGACCTTCCCAAATAATGCTGCTGGTTCCTAGTGGTCTGTATCTAGAATATAAGAGATTCAAAAGTTCCGGGCGCCTGGGTGGCTCAGTTGGTTAGGCGACTGCCTTCAGCTCAGGTCATGATCCTGGAGTCCCCGGATCGAGTCCCGCATCGGGCTCCCTGCTCGGCAGGGAGTCTGCTTCTCCCTCTGACCCTCCCCACTCTCATGCTCTCTCTATC